ATGTGGAATATTTTGAAGAATATAGGTGTTAGTTCTTCTTTGAAGTTTTGGTAGAAATTTGCACTGAAACCATCCAGCTCTGGGATTTTTGGTTGAGAGGCTTTTGATGACTGCTTCTATTTCCTTGCAAATTATAGGTTTATTTAAATTGTTCTTCTAATTTTGATTTAATTTTGGTATGTGGTAGCTATCCAGAAAATTGTCCATTTCTTTTATATTTTCCAATTTTGTGGAGTACAGGTTTTTGTAGTATCACCTAATGATTCTCTGGATTTCCTCAGTGTCTGTTGTTAAATCCCCCTTTTCATTTCTGATTTTGTTATTTTGGATGTTCACTTCCCTTTAGTACAAGAGAGCCTACAAGTTTCCTGTCCTTAACTGTATTAACTATGTTCCTTAGGCCAATTTTCATTGACAAGAGAGGAGACTATTTGAGAATAATAGGGATGGGATGGGAGATGGTGAGGAAAGGGGGCTGAGGGCCTCAATTGTCCAGGGTGCACAGAAATGCTGTTTTAGCACTAGAAGTCAGAGCTATAAGCCACTTACTGGTTCACTACACAGATAATAAGGACTCTGAGACAGGCACTGCTAAATCCTGGACTTGATTATCAGCTTCCTTTCAAAGAGCAGCCAGTCAGCCAAGAAGCGCAACACAAAGATAATGAGAGAAGATTGCAAAACTCTCTGTCTTTTACTCCCAGGAAACTAAGCCAGCCCAGTTCTCTGGAACTGATGCATCTGAATGAAAATGGTTCTTCAGGCCCTGAGAGAGAGAGGGAGACATACTATCTCTACAGTGTCCCCTGTAAAAAGGCAAAATGGGAGCAATCATCCTGAACCCTGAAGCTGAAGATTTCTGTACTGATGTGGTACCCAAAACATGAGGAAGTTGCTTTAACCTTACATTTCTTGTCCACCAAATTATCAGTTTTCAGGTTTTAGGGGCATATGACAAAACTTTCTGGTGTATTTTTATAGACAGAACAAGGCTCCTCAATATTTCTGGGTCTTGGACTCAACCGTTTTGAACTCCATATAGTTGCTGGGTGGTGTCAGAAACCAATAGGTTTAAATGGGATGAATGAAGGACCTCTGTATCTTGATACCTAGGACATTCAGTGTAGATGTGGTACCATGTGCTCAATGTCAACTCTAGAAAGAAAATAATTTCTGCTAGTAAAACAATATATTTAAAACACAGATGGAATGCTTCTCTAATTTTCTTTAACTATCAAGAAATTAAAGGTGATGTTTTCTGTTTGTTTTTTTTGTTTTGTTTTGTTTTTTCTGGATACTGCACTTTATTGTGTTGCCTTTGAATTGTTTAATCGCTGAAGAAGAAGCAACCGCTGCTAAAATATATTTGGATATAAATGTTGCTAGATTAATCCAACATATGTATTTTGAAATGCCTTGACTTCAAAATTATTTTTGGCTTTTTTTTTTGAGAAAAGGAAAAAAAAAACAAGTTTCCGCCTCGACCCAGCCTTCCATTTCCCTCCCCCTCCTCCCACCCTTCTCCCCCTCCCCCACTCCTCTCCCCCTCCCTCTTCAGTCCAAAGAGCAGTCAGGGTTCTGATCTATTGGGAGCTCACCAAAGCCAGCTGGACTGTGACTGAAAAAGCATGGGATAGGGCCGGACTCTCTGAACATGGCGAACAATGAGGGCTGATGAGAAGCCAGGGACAATGGTATGGGGTTTTGATCCTACTTAATATGCTGACTTTGTGGGAGCCTAGCCAGTTTGGATGTTCACCTTCCTAGATATGGACGGAGGGGGGAGGACCTAGGACTTACCACAGGGCAGGGAACCCTGACTTCTCTTTCTGTTTGTTTTTAATAGCGTTCTATTGCATCTAACTTTATTGATCGATACTTTGAATTTCTCTCTGACTTTTAATTTAGCTTTTGTTTGATTGATTCCATGATGATAGTTTAGAGCTTTGAGAATCTCTTATTCTGAGTCCCCTATATGACCTTTAAACACAGAAGAGTAAAGCCAAACACTAAAGTAGGACTTAGGAAGTTAACTTTTACTGATACAACATGCTAGAAAGACATCAAGAGAATCCCTTCCTTCTCCAACATACAGGAATTACAAAGAAACTCTCCCAGTGCCTGTCCAGAGATCAGTGGCAGCATCCCAGCTGTCTAGGTTATACTACAAGACACTGCTCACTACTTTTACAGAAAGGAAAGGGAGCAACAGAACTTTCTGAATACAAGCCTAGTAAGAAGACTTAGGGTACTTCCTAGAAAGCTTTGAAATGAATTTCTTAAAATTGTGATATGCAAAAAAAAAAGTGCCTTCCCCCACCAAAGAAAGGTAACCATGGTGACTGTGGGCTATAATTTAACCCCACCCAGGAAACCTGTTAGGAAGACAAAGACCAAGCGCTAGTTAGAAGAGAAGATCTTTTTGCACTGAGGTGAAACTGCACACTCTCTGCTTCCTGGGGCAAAGCCTGTGTACTATGAACTAACGTGAGGCTCACAAGAGAGTTACAACCAATGAGATTGAGGGTAATGCTGTAATATGTATCTGCATCCTGTCAGGTCAAGGAGTGTGCCTGTTCCTACTTGAAGGGAATCTTCAAACTGATGACTTACCAGTCATATTTCTGCTTCTCCTAACTAATAAGCAAAAATTCCTCCTCTGAGTGAAACTGTCTGATAGGGATAGAACAAAAAGGCAAACATTTCCTCTCCAAGATCTACAGATACACCTCATCTAAGGGATTTGCTTTGTTAGAATAGTTTGTGGGCTTGCATCACTTTTGTACTAACTACTATCGTAGAACCAGATGCTCATCTGCAATCTTGTAACACTACCTACAGCCTGGATGAGGGAAAGTGGAAGGCAAAGGGCTATTAGCGTGAGCTGAGTCTCAAATGGATGATCCTTGGCAGGGTGGAGTAGTTGAGAAAGGTAGAAGTCAGAAAGTGGAACTGCCTGACTCATCAGGAATAGAGGCAGTCGAGGCCAACACTAACTGCACCCAACTCTCACTCTTGCAAGTCCCGACACTTCTTGCCAAGATGTGTCTGTATGAGCAAGGATTTCTCTGATGTAATTTTGTGCTCTTTAAATCACTAACTTGCCAATAACCAAAGGACAAATCAATTGCAGTACAGTTAAAAATACACACTTTATTATAGCCTTAAAATACAGAAAAGGAACTGAGTATACATTGGAAGCAAAGGCTGAAATGATAACATTGGGAGAAATCCAGATGCTGTGTGTTGGTAGCTATCCCTCTGTCTGAAGTATGGAAACCTCTTCTGGTTTCTAAAAGAATCACAATGCTTTTGGACCTTTGCTGGGAGTGTGACAGTATCATTGTATCATTTTGTTTGCCTTGATTGCCCTAAGAATGAGGCTGGGGCAGAATGACATCATTAAGTTTCAAAGAAATAGCTCCATTGATAACATGCCTGCTATGTAAGCATAAGGACTGGAGTTCAGATCCCCAAACCACGTGTACTAGTCAGACATGGTGGTACACATCTGTAACCGAAGACCTGTGGGTGGTGAGGTAAAGCAGCAATAGGCAGATCCCTAGAGCCAAATGGTGGTCCAGCCAAGCCAAATAAATGAGCTCCAGGTTCAGTGAGAGACCTTGTCTCAAAGACTAAGGTGGAGAGCAGCTAAGGAAGACACTCAGTATGCCACCCACAAGTACATACTCATATGAACAGGCTCTCCCACAACACATACATGCACACACCTACACAATCACATACAACACACACATACACAAACACACACACAACACACATACACACCTTTTTACAAAGAATGGTGTCCTAGTAAACCAGTTTTGCAAAAGAAATGCTTCCATTTGTAGTATTTGTCAACCTCCATGGCACAAAAGTTTCCAAACTGCACAATTCAAAGGAATTAAACAATTAGTTTTTATGAAGTAGTGTCAGCCCATGCCAGCACAGGGCTGCTTGCAACACATCAAATATCAACACTAACAGGTTTCTATAAATACATATGACATAATTTTAGTTTCCTGAGAAAATATGCAGACACAAGGGTCTTTGTACTCTATAGCAATTCAGCTCAGCAAGTATTCATAAAAAAACAAGAAATAGCTTAGCCTACAGTAAGTATTCTTGTTACATACAATAAAGGTATTTTTAAATTAGCCCTATATAAAACATAATTATAATACAGTTTTCCACAAATACCCATAAATATTATAAATTGGTTTAAAATACTTTTCAACAAGAACTCACAAGCTGGTTAAATTTAGCAGAATCCAAAATTTGAAAATGAGTGTTCTTCATTACTTTGAGACCTCAGCATGCTCTTCCAACAGGGTCCTGGCTTTTCTTGCTCCAGGCAAGAAGAGGAAAATGTCTGCTGGTAAAGAAAGGCTCTCGTCGCTTCATTCTGGCCACCTTGGGGTAAAGGCGATGCATCCATTTGAAAGCTGAATTTATTCCATTTTAGAGATGTATAATGAGACAGTAGAAAATACCAGTTTCAAATCAGGGACCATGTGAATGGCAAGACCCCACTCAATTCATTGTGAGTTCTGAGTTGAGGTGAGAGTCTTAGGATCCATCTGTCCATGTTAACATTGTTCAATTTTTTTCTAAAAATATCTGCTCCATTAACATCATAGAGTTGTGTAGTATAGGAAAACCAATGTATTTGCCAATTAGGGAACACCAACTAAACATTTGGAATCGTTACACAATGCACTAGAGAAACACCAATGTCTTGGGCTAAACCTAATGACTGCTAGTGCAAACTCGTTTTCCTATTTGCAGTGTGTAAACACACATACACACAAAAGCAATAAAGGCTTACGTGAAAGTTCAGGATGAACCTGCATCCTGAGGATGACGAAATCAAGAAAAATTCCCCAGATCAATTTCATTCCATGCCATCGCCACTTCTGTCCCAATAGCTTTCAAAGTGTTCTCTGTCCTCTAAAAATATCACGTGTAAAAGAGGGTGCTCTTGGCATATCGTGGCCACCCCACCAATCTGACAGCTTTTCATTAGGAGGCTCTCAGAAGGTGAGAGTATGAAGGGATTAAGGTAATCAGCTCAAGGAAATTATGATGAGAAGAAGACCAGGCTGCTGCAAAACACCCTTTGTGAAAACCAAGTAAGATTCCCATGGAAATAGCACCTCATTTTGCACCCAGAGATTCAAGAGTTAGAGAGATATGCTTTGAAATACTCATTTTATCATGGATTATGAAACTCTATTTCCAGATCTAACATCAGGGATTTGGCCCACTCACTGAATCTTCCTCAGACAGATATGAGAGTTAAAGTCTTATGATGCCAAGAGGTTATGTTTGTGTTGATTTGTAAGGTGCTACAAACTGTGTGCATTCAAACAGGCAACCCCCTCCAATCCGCTGAACAGCCTCTCTGGGTACACTGAGAAAAGTGATGAGACCAAACTAAATCTCTAGGAGCTGAATGAGAGATCTGGCATTAAAACAACCCCCCAGTATGTATTATCTTTCTGAACATGGTCATCAGAGTTGAACCTCAAGTATATGCTATCTCCGGCATGCAGTTCATAAATCCCTCCTATAGTTAGAATTTGAAAGTCATTTGTTGCAGACTGTAAGACATTTCCATCTTTAATTATCTCTACTATAAATTCAGCAGAGTTTTTTATGTCTTTCTTAGCAAAAGGAGTCACTTGTCCATAGATTAAATACTCGCCATCCTGAAGTATCCCCAGCTTCCCGACAGATGTCATATTGACACAAAGAGGTTCAGGAGATGTCATTTGCCACTTTGAAGATGATAGTTCTATAAGAAATTGAAAATGAAGGGGAAAAAGAAATCATTATTACTTCATCCTCTACCTGGTCGCAGTATGTTCTTTACTACCTACATACTAATTTACCTGGTCTATGCTAGTTTTTTCAGACCATATTTTAAATAGATTGTGAGAATCAACCATTTCTCTGTTTCAGAGAAGTTGCAGATCCTCATGGATCTGTACCTCTTCCCAGGTAATAGGAATGAACAAGGGAGGGAGAGGACAGAGGAACCACACAGCAAGACTAGAATAAGGACTGCTCATAATTCATGCATCTCCATGTCTTTCTTATATGAACAATATTTACTCAGTGGTGGTTTACCAATGACACATTCCCTAATCAGTCTACATGCAACATTGCTCTCCTATGACTCCCTTGTTCTATACTGCTTTAATTTTCTTCATAGAAAGTATTAGGAGGAAGCTTATTGTAAATTAATTTGACCATTTTCTATTGTCTTACATCCACTTAAATACGACTTCTTTGATAATAAGCGTTCTCTATTTTTCCAATTACTATTTTCCCATCACCGTGAGTTTCTAGAATAATGTGAACTCTAAAAACTTTTTTATTTTGACACGGGAGTCCTGCTGTATTGCCCAATCTGGGCTCAAATGGATGAGTTCAGGTTTTATGTTGTTGTTTTTGTTGTTGTTTGTTTGTTTGTTTGATATGGGAGTCCTGATATATTGCCTATCTGGGCTCAAATTGATGAGTTCAAGTGGTCCTCCCCCTCAGCATCCGTAAATATCTCTAAACTGGTTGACAGATCTGTTTCTGAATTTGATGCTTTGCATCTGAAATATATTTCTTCATATCACTTTCAATTCCACATATCATTATCTAGCTCACTTCCAAATATCTACCGGCACATTGATGGCTTTGTAACTAGAAATAAATTTATCTAATTAAATATAACTACCCCTAGTCTAATACTGCCACACAGGATAATGTGTCCAAATTTAGTCTTTCCTTTTCCTATGTACTACACTTACATATTTCCCTAGTCTTAGGGAATGTACAACTAAGTAACTTCAAGGCCCCAAGAGATGCTTTTACTGGTTCAAAGTTCTTTTCTCTAATACTCAATAACTTTAGATATAGAGGACAAAGCCCTAGAAGAAGTAACAGTGGCTTAAATTCCCTTTCATACAGAAATAGCTAGTAGAAGACTCGGAGGTAGATGCTGGAGGAGGATGAAGGACTGATGACTAGAGAAAAAAGCAAAGACTCGCAGCATCCCCAGCGAACTCTGCATTTCTCCTCATTGGCACGCAAGAGGCAGATTTCTCGGAACAAGTATAGCATTTTTTCCTCTTTAATTCAATTATGGAATTTTTTTAAAGAGCACCTTAGCATCATTTTTATCACAACAAGAAGAAATTTCTAACATTATTCTATTCCTTTCACTGGCAAAACAAAACACAGAATTGTGGACACATTCAAAGAATGCCCCAAGCTCTGAAAGCCAAGGTATTTTGAAAAACTGGAGCAAAAGATAGACGAGTGAAAAACTGAATTATAGAAATCATCTACTCTCAAATGTAAATGTGTTTGGCCATACGGACAATCAAAAAATGTATACACTTGATGTTTTGAGTATATCCTAAGGAATATCCTGAGCCTCAAGGCGATGCTAGCTTTTCTGTCAGCTTGACATAGCCTAGGGACACCCAGGAAGAGAATCTAAGTGAAATCTGTTCACACTGAGTTGGTCTATAAGGGACTGTCTTAATTAAATTGAAAGATGTGAGAAAATTCAGCCCGCTACAGTTGGCACCATCCCCTAGGCAAGATGTTCGAAACTATAAGAAGGTAGAGAAATGGAACTGAGCATAAGAAAGCGAGCGGGCAGGCAAGCATACATTTTGTTTCTCCCTGCTTGACTGTGAGTGTGACGGGATGCTCTAAGCTCCTGCTGCCACCTTCCCCCGCCATGACGGACTATAGTCTGCACTTATGGGCTAAGACAAATCCTTTTTCTCTGACGCTTGCTTTTTGTTGCGGTACTTGATCGGGGCAACAGAAATGAAAGTAAAACACTCAGCAACACTGTTTTTCATACATTTTCTGAGCGGCTATCAGGTGACTGTTAAGGAAAGTGACTCAGAAGCAAAGAGGAAGTGCCTGTTCCTCTTCTGTGTACTTACTCACAGCAGTAATGTTTCCCATACACCCTATTAGAAATGAAAAATCTGTGAAATATGAGAAGGACTTTGAGGAAAGGTGGTAGGAATCTTTAACGGACTACCAAACCAAAAGCTGACTACTATATGCATATCCACATGTCACCAAATGTGGGCTTGTCAAATCTAGCTCAGCTCTGGAAGCCTCGGCTCTCACTAGGCTGATGGCCTAGTATAGAATGAGTGATTATAATTTAAAAAAATAAAGGAAAGTGAACAAAAAGTTGTAAAGGTTTTTTGAAGGCACTGACAGATGCCTTCTTGCATCAGAAACTAAGAAAAATAAAAGGCGGGTTACTCACCGAACTTAACCATACAGGGCTCTTTGGCAATTGCCTGTAGAAGGAAAAGAAGAACTGGTCAGGATGATGGCACAGTTGCCACTTGCTTGGATGAATTATTTAGCACCTAAAGATTCTGCAGCAAACTACTATCCAAAGCAAAAAAATTAAAAAACCCACCACACAAAGAGACTTGTCACATTTCTTTGCTTCCTTTACAGATGACTGGTTCTGTCCTCTACATTTGACTTACAGTAGCTTTGACATTAGTGTTTAGAAGAGACAGGAAGAAGCAAGTGAACAAGTAAGCTATGGGGATACAAGGGAAGAGGTGTAAATAAACACACTGAAATTCAGCTGTATAAGGAGACAAAACCACATGAATAGCGTGGTGGGCAATATTATTTTAGTTTTAAAAATGATATCATTGAATGATAGATTTGACAATGAGAAAAGATAGCAGATCTCTTTGGGGATCTTTCTTTCACTTTGGGGTCATTCATTTGGCATTTCATTCTGTTCATCTAACTTTGACCCACAAGGCAAGTATTGGAGCTGTGTTCTTTCCCTCTAGTGTACTACAAACAGCAGTCTCTATATCCCTATGGTTTCCCAAGATTATCTAGTACATATGGGAAGAAGACAATGAAACCTCTGCTTATGTTTCTCTTTACTTAAAATAACAATAAATTGACTTTAGAAATATTAATGTTTAGAAATCCACATGCCATATGCAATGACTGAGAATCAGATACAACTGTTTTAAATGTCTACCACATGCCACAGCATACATGCTGAAAGATGACATTAGTTATGACTAGTTTACAAATGCAATCACTTAAATGTTGTCAAATGCTTGAGAGTAAAATAAGGTATAACTATCAAAGTTTTTGGTACTCAAAATTCATACATTTCCTTGGAGCAAAGTGCTCAAAAGACTTTTTTTTACATATGGAAAGAAATATATGTTCCTTTTGAAGAATCTATCCAGCTATTGTGCTAGGAAAAAAAAACTAAAGAGGATGAAAGGCAAAAGCACTGAAAACAATTAAGCACGGACCGAAGCTCATGAAAACAGGAATGCACTGCCTCTGACCAAGGTGCTGGCAAAGAGGGAACGCGCCAGCTGGTCTGGTATAGTGATCCATGCCAGATATAACAGCACTTAGGAGACTAAAACAGGAGGACCATGGGTTTTAGGTCATGCTAGGCTATATTTCAAAGAAAGCAAGAAGTAGCTGATGTTCTTGACAGGAATACTGGTGTGAGACAATAGGAAGAAACAAAGGTAATGCCAAGATTTGGGACTGCAGTCATTGGAAAAAGTAAGTTAATTGGCAAGATGAGCATGACTAAGAGAAATAAAGTAAGAGAGGCCCAATCATGAGTTTTGGGATGTGTTGATTTGTGGTGCTTCTGAGATATCAAGTAGGCAGTTAGATATGCAATGCTGAGACTCTGCTTTCAGACCTGACATTCTATGTGAACATCAAGTCCACGAGTGTAACAGAGATGAGTACTGGAACCCTTTGGTATTCAAAGGTCAGACAATGAGGAGGAACTCTCTAAGAAGATCAGTGAGTCTGAAAAGAATAGATGTGTGTAATGTTTGTGAACCAAGAGAAGAAAGTCTTCTAGAGAGGAGACTAAGCAGTCGGTGTCAAAAGTCACTGATAGATCAAAAAAGAAGAGGGCAGAGACTTGACTGGTAGAGTTAAAAACATGGTTTCTACAAGAATTCCTGACAGAATAGTTGTGTAATAGTTTGTATGATGTGATAAGAGCACAAGTCTCACCAGGATAAATTTAAGATGAGATGAGAAATTGGGAAATTTGCTACATGGGAGGCTAGCAAAAGTGAGTGGGCCCTGGATAAGGGTGAGACGTCAAAGAGGCTTTTGTTGTTGTTGCTGTTGTTCCTTTGTTTCGGGTTCTGTCTTTGTTTGTTTGATATGAAGGAGATGACAAGTCTGCTTGTCGCCATTCGATGGGACTATTCCAATCGCATGAGGCAGGCGAGAACTTCAGCGATGCTCTGAGCAGGTGAGACATCCGAGAGTGAGTTCAGAGGTGGTGGCTCTGGCAGGGACGTGGAGAATGCATCCATGCAGATGAAGGAAACACAGAACGTATGGACACAAATGCAGGCAACTGGCAGACATGGTCTTTCCTCTCTCCTACCGAGAGAGGGTGGGAAATGGTTCCTGAAAGTTCAGAGAGGAGCCAAGGGTGCAAGGTAGTCTCTGAAGGAGAAAGAATGGACTGGGGAAGTACACACCATTTCCACGGCAACAAGGAAACCCCACTTAAAGCTGGTGGCCATGAGCATATAAAGAAAGAATGTTCAAAAGGCCTTGTGTTTTTCCCAGAGACCCAGTACTGCTGGGTTTAGTTATTGCTGGAGTCCTTTGATAGCCAGGTTTTGACATGGGACTGTAGTGATGAGAGAAAGAAGCAAGTGAGCGAATTTGTGTAAGGAACGAGATGTAATTAAAGACTTTGGAGCTTAGTTGTGTAATGAGAAAAAGAAAAGACGTGGAAGAAATGAAATATTATTTTAATTCTAAAGAGCAGCCCCATCCAATGATAGTGATAATTAAGTGTCTTGGCAATTAAGAATATACAAAGATGCTCTGGTAAATTTTTATCCATGTTTCCTTGTGAAGTAATTTTCAATTGTTATAGTCAAAATCACAAATCAAGTTAAATTGGAATAAAACCTTGAGTTCCTATATTATAAAATGTAAAACTAAAATTAAGAAAATATCAAATTACTGGGGCTTTGAATGTGACTAGGAGGTAGAGATACTGAGTTTGAACCCCATAATCACAAAAAACAGTATTTCAATTATTTTGTTATATCTGTATCATGTGTGAATATATTATAGAAAACTTAACATCTTAGCTAAAACAGGTAGATTTAGACTGGAAAATCTGTGCTAAACCTTTAGAACAGTGACTTTCCATCTTGTGTATCTGTTTTGTGTTCATGGTATTGTACTCAGATATGAGATACTATTTGGCACACATCTGCTGGAAATTATAATAAAAGAATTTTATTGATAAGGAGATACAATAGAAAATTATGGAAACCATAAATCTAAAAACCATAAGTAATTGGATTTCCTGAGATCAGTTTTACTATTGCAATTATTTCATCCTATTTTGGTTTTTCTTAGACGAGATGTCCAAATTCAATTTAGAACGACTGATAGACTTACAGCAGGGACGCCAAAAACTCATTTTCTCATCCAATAACCAGGGATAATAGCAGAGTTCACTGAACTGTTGTTCTACATAACTGTGCTGACTCTTGGGAAGGGCTTCTCCAGACATTCTATATGGATATACTCAGTAAATATCAGTTATTTTGATCATGATACTGGTTATAATGAAGAATTAAACAAACAGCTTAAGTACCTATATTCCCAACATTATACTAATGTTGTAAGAGAGACAAATTTAATGTATAATTGCTGCCTCTTAAGATGTTTTTAATCGACCTAGAGAGACACTATTGCTTATATGATGCAATTAAACAGGCACCTAAATATAAACGTTCCCATTGTGTCCCAGCTGTTACCATGTGTAAGAATACACAGAAAACTTAAATTCATAGACAAATGAACTGACCGACAAACATCCAGAAAGTCAATTGCAAACTTCTTTAATATCTATTTAGAGTTACAAAACACCACTCGGCTCATCTTTAGCTATTGCCGTAAGTGAAAATCGAAGTGGAAAATCATCAATTTGGTTGAAAACTGTGGTCTTCTGACTGAGAAAGGGATAAGGTCAGACCAACCACGCACGCTTTAACTGGCCTTTCGAGTCTGTATTCATTGTGACCTTCTAACTAACAATGGTATGCATTTTAATCACTACAACATATCTAGAGTCTACTGTGAGTCAGGCACGTCAGGCACTTCCCTACCTCATTATTCCTTGAGGCAGCTCTAGAAGAATTAGCGTGTTCCTTTTGCAGAGGAGGAAATGAGGACTCAGTGGTGAAGTAACCAGCCCAAGGTCACATGGCTGATAAGATGTTGGGATCCAGAACCAAACTGTCTCATTCAAAACACTCAGCCTACCACTCATAGAGGCCGTTTCTATTTATAATTCTGGTGATATTATAAAGAGTTACACACAAGCCTTTGGTTTACTTTTAGTTTTGCTTGCTTTCATTTAGAAGAGTCAGTTGGTCTTCTAACCTCACTTTGGTTTAATCCTAGATTACTTGGTTTGTCTCAAACTGGCCAAAATAGACTTCAGACTAATCCTAACCTCCTCTGTCCGGAAACAAACCCTCCTCTATTTGTTTGCAAGTACAGTTGTACAAATTCCAGTTTCCCTTCTGGAAGCCTATCCATCCTTCATTTCACTGAAGAAAGGGACTTTCCTGAATCACTGGATTCTTCAGAGGGTACTGCGCTAAACTGCTTTCACAGAGGACTTGGCCAAACTCCTTGAGCTCAGAGCATAGTCTATTAACTAATGTCTTCTATGAGAGAGAGAGAGAAAAAAAAATTCTCCCAAGAAAATTTCTGCTGATCTGAAAGGAACCAAGCTAAAAAAGATTACTATCTGAAGGGATTTTTTATAAATAGAGATTTGCATGAGAAAATTGGAGTGGAGAAAAATATAAAACCGTTCTGAGTTCCTACCTATGCAAAGGTGAAAGTTACTATCATCTGCCATCCACGCAGATTTCTCTGCTCAACAATTTTTTTTTTGTAGCTAATAAGGAAAGTGTAATTCTCAAGCTAATACTAAAGCCCAGTGGTTTTTCCATAGTAACTAGACTGCCTGGCATTCTGGCAGGAAAATAGACTCCAAAACCTTTTCTACTTCCCTAAATTTGAAATATCCTCACAGGTATTTTTAGAGGGGGAACCCATCATTGAAAGGGGTGTGTTCTCTTGAGGGGATAATCTAAAATCAAAGCTCAAAACACCATGAATTAACAGTTTGCTTGTGGAGAAAGGTGTCACTCGGAATAAAAGTCTTCCTCCCCATGCATTACCGCGGGGCTCTTTGACACCAAGACACAGTGCACTTCAGAACCACCTGACTAAGAAGACTTGAGGGAGTTTACAGGAAGAAAAAGCAATGTGAAATCAATGCTATTCTCATTCTTCCTCCTTTTCAAAACTTTCCACACTTGAGAGGCTGATAGTCCTTTCCCTGTGGCTCAACATTCATTGCTTTAGAAGCTCTCTTCTTGGTTCCTTCTTTGGAAGTGTGGGGCTGGGATTAGAACTCTCTCTGCCTCTCATCCACTTACACAGTTACAGAGTACAGAATAACGGGTTCCTATGTACGCTTTTCACCAGAGCGTTCTAACTAACCTTGGCTCTACAGTGCACTACTTCCTCCCGTGCCTTTCCTCCAAGTCTTGCCAGTGTAGAACCACACCTTTAAAACCATCACTGGTTGGTCTCCTTAGACAAATGCTCCTGGGCTTAGCTCCAACCCTTCCTTACACAGGTATACATCACTTTATTCTGCCCTAGGTTTAGAGTCTTTTAAAGTAATGGGCTAACTCCTGAATTATATAAAGTTTTATTTCATTTCTTCTGGTCAAACGCTTTCTTTTTTCATTTGTAGTTTTTCAAGACACGGTTTCTCTGTGTAGCCCTGGCTGTCATGGAACAGAAAGCAAACTTCTAGAAAGAAATATATATATATATATATATATATATATATATATATATATACATTCCCAGTACAGATCCCATCTAGATCCACAATTTAGACTGTAATTCACTGGGAAATTCCTGATAACCATCAGGGGCTTCCCAAACAGACATGTTCTCTTCTTTCCTCCATGAAGCCTTCCCAGGTCACTCCAGTCCAAAGTCATCGTCCTTGCTTTAGACTTCCTAAACTACAGGTACACGTAGTACCCTACACTTAGGTTAATTATTGACCAATGTAATTATAGCTAGGAGGGCATTAAGTAAATGGATCCAGTCTCCCAACACCATGTTGTAGACCTAAAATACTAGAATCAGAACAATGAAACAACTTTCTCACATGTGTGCAGTTGGTTTTAGTGAGATTCACCTATAACTGGAATCCAGTTATCTCTTCTAGCTCAGCACCATTTCCCTCTTCCACATGCTCTTGCTTCCTGTGATTTCATTCTGTCTTCCATTATCATTTTGTATCCCTACCCCGTTGAGACCACTACTTGTTTGGAATCGCATGAAGAAGAGCATCATGCTTCAGGTCTCTTCTTCGTCTACCAATATGAGAGTAGTGGAGTTCCAGGGAGGGAAAAGGACCCCCACAGACACCTTTTAAAGACTCAGTTTAAACATGTAGTCCCATGCTGCTCAAGCCCACAGTGGGCACTCTGTGTCCTCTGGTGCCCTTTGTCTCAAGACATTCAGATGAGTTTCAGGGGCCATGTCCTTACAAGACTGGAATTTTTTATGCTGTACCCTCAGATCCCTTCCTTCCCACTATCTTTAGCAATGCTGAATGGCAACAATAATAATCAGACTAACAATTAAACAACCTTTATATACTATAATTAGCACCTGTAGGTTCCTTTACCACCTTACCTTGAGTGAAGTAAAGATCAGTGCACCCGTGGTATAGAAAAGCAGCAACAGCAGAGGAACCATGCATAAAAGCCATGGCTTCCTGAACCTCTGTGCCCCTCGAGGACTTGGCGGGCTCAAAGGCATTTCCTCCATGAGGCTAGAACTCATTCTGTGACAGGCTGAGAGCTCTGGAAAGCAGATATGCACAAGTGATGGATGAACGATGCGATGTCATGTTTTATAGTAATTAGGCCGTGGGTGTGGGAGGTGGAGTTTTCCTTTGGAACACTGCTGAGCACTGACAGTCATCGTGGCAGTGGGCCAAAACTACAAAAGGAATGGGGAGGCTTAGAGCCAACAGAAACACGGGAGGGAAAAAAAGCCACTATGAGGCAAGTTCAGAAGGAAAAAAAAAGTCTTTCCTAAAGCAAGAGGAAGTACTGTGTGCATGCACAGCCAGCCTCGGCTGCTGGAAGATACTTCAAAATTATTCCCAAAGAAGAAGAAAAAAAAACTTATAAGAATAAATAAAACTTAAAGCTAAGTTTTTTCATACTGCAGCTATAATGACTGGATGGGACAGAGAGTTAGAGAGCAGGGATGCACGGTTTGAACAATGGAGTTCCCATGAAGTCACCACATTGCACACTTTACATATGTACTACTTTATATATACACCATTTTTGTCGGTTACACCTTGATAACAGTTTAAAATATCAAATCAAAGCTATAGTCACAAAAAATTAACTTTCTAGGTTACAAAATGTGTTTGCTCTGAAACAGTCTTGAAGAAAGCTGCAACTGGGGCCGGAGAGATGGCTCGGTCATTAAGATTGCTTGTTACTTTTACAAAGGATTTGAATTCAGTTCCCAGCAGCACTATGGGGATGCACAACCATCTATTGCTCCAGCTCAGGGGACACAACGCCCTCTCTGACCTCCAAGGCACCAGACACTCACATTACACACATACATATATATGTGGGCAAAACATTCACATACACAAGATAAATCTTAAAAAATTTTTAAAAACCTGCTAGAACTTAGTAAATATTGGAGAATAAAACAATGGTCAATTTTCTCATACCTTGACCCTGCTGAAACTAAATTCCAATGCTAGCATCAAATAGTAATAATGTTATCCTTTAAAAGGTTATTTCCTTGACTTGACTTGTACTCTGCCCTTAACCCCAAATAGAGATTTTTTTTCCCCTCCTGACATCAAAATGCCAATTTAGCATAAAACTGAAGAAGTCCCTTGTTCTCTGTACCTGAGCCTCCTCATCTGTTAAAATTATTGCGTGTCTTACAGAATGTCAATATCATTTGCTAGAAACCTTCAGAGCTTTTAATCTAGACACATCTGAGGGCATTGCCCAACAGAGCTCATCCCTAACCTACTGTATGCACATCAGTGGATTTCTCTGAGCCTAGGTTTGTACTTCTTAATAGTTTTGCAAGAATAAAATAAATGTACAAAGTTTAGCTTACAAAAGATATCCCATAAGGGTTATGATAGTTTGTCTCTTACCTCTTTAGAAGTGTAGTGGTAAACTCCATTATAAAATCCTAGAAACGAGTGACTATTTCTTATTAGTTTTCATAGGAAATAATTCAACTGAAGTTAATTTAAGACAAAGTTTTTTTTGAAGACAGTATTTTTTTTTAATCTGAGGAAAAAGCAAGAAGTTTTTGAAAGCAGAAAGAAACATTTAATCTCCTCACTTATGAAAAAGGAAGCTGAATACTAGAGATTGAGGGTTCCTCAAACCACTAGTGGCTGATGAAGTAGAAATCCTAGCCCAGAAACCATAGCATTTTGTAACGAAGTCAAATCTGTCTTCGTGCCACACTATTTTGGGCAGTCGTTCCTACTGAGCTGTCAAATTTCAACTGGACCCTCTTGTATCTTAACCAACAAGCTACTCTTGAGGAAGATGGTTACACCAGAATCACTCTTCAGTACAGCAGACATTTTAATGTCTATGTACTAGATAATACCACACAGGGGTGAATGCGATACTGACACTTGATCCTGTACCCCTTGCACTTGAGTTACACAATCAGAGACCTTGAGATCACCACTGAGGAGTAGAGCTCCTTCCTTCGTACTCATCCCATCTGCTCCTTTCTTGTCTCCTGTCCAAACGTTAGACAGATCTGCTGCTTACTCACTTCAGTGGAGATGCGTTCACATGAGGAACTAGTCCAAGTGAAATTCACGTACACCTTCAGATAAGGCTGGGCTTGGGTGTATTCTTATTTTAGCTTTGTGACAGTATCTGAAGAAAATTGACACAGTTCTCCTGAGAAGACTTTACATTCCAGGGCATCTTTCCATTCAACAGGATTCAGAGATGATGGAACTTCAAGTCAGCACAGGAGACAGCAGAGAAGGATTTTGGCATTCCCAAGCTTTGAGTCATAACTGATACCTTGTTAGCATATGGCAGAAAGAATATTTTGTGACATTTCAGGATTTGCCAAAGGCAAATGAATACCAAGCTCAATAGTTGTCTTAATTTAGGGCCTCCTTTGACTTAGATAGATGGAAGTAGAAATAAAAAAATTTAAATAAACTTAAATCCAACTAGCAAATCTATTTTTCTTTTGTTTTTGAGATTATAATATAATTATATAATTTCTCCCTTCCATTTTATCCATTCAATCCCTCCCATATACCCCTTCTTTCAAAGAGATTTGGAAGAATATTTAATATTTACCTTGGTACACAAATGCATCATAAACAAAAGCAGCACATCTTTATATCATTAAACAAATGCATCATGAACAAATATATCAAACTTTCACATAGTTAAAGTAACATTCCACAACACCTTCTCTGTACTAATTCAATGTTAGAGGCTTCAGTGGTAATAGACAAAGGCCAACTCTACAAATTTCTTGTTGTTTTTGTCTTTTTTGGCACCTGGGAGAAGAAACACATATATGAGATCAACACAGGTAGCGCTGTACAGCTGAACTGAATACTCTATCTAATGAGATATTTTAGAAAAGAGATGTGTGGGCTGAGACAAAAGCACAAAGTCAGGAAGGTTAGCCAATCAGTTACTGTTTATACTAATGAATTTTCTGATTACTACACAATGCTTAGAGTATAATTCATAAATGTATTTAATATATATGTAGAACGCTACAATGATTTTAAGTATTTTACTTGAAAATGGAGGAATAAGTCAAAAATCTGTAAGTTTAAGGAATCGTTGCTCAGTTATCACTGAGTCTTCTTCTATATGTAAGCATCCCAAACTTGTATTAAAAATATGCCTGTAATGATAAATTTCTTCCTTATGTAACTTCCTCAGAGTTACTAAGTAATTCAATTTCAGATGCTAACTAGCAAAGCATCCAGAGTTCAAGCCAAACTATCTGTCTATCCAGTTTGGTGATTAACTATGCATACAGTAGCATGTTCCTCTCTAAAGAGGGAACTTCAGACCTGTGTGCAGTGGAAAAAACACTGAGTCACAGGCACTGTTGTGGAATGCAGCTTTGTTTGAACGGGAGCCAGCTGAAGGCAACAGGCAGTTTCCATCCACTAAGGAAAGAGCAAACACCCCTAAAGAGTTACGTGTGAAAGTTATGCAACGATAAGATCCAAATTATTTCAAGTCGTTCTTTGCCAAGCAAGCCTAAGGGAAATCTCCTTGGCTGCAGGTGAAGGCATTGCCCCGCCCCACACGTACACTGCCTCCTACATCCCCCAGAAGCCCTGGTCTCTCATCTGTGAAATCACCATTCAGTTCTTCCTCCTGCACATTCCTAACCGAGTCAGGATGTGGCCTCTCGGGTTGCAGTGCCACTGAGTAATGATTTCTAGTGTCAATCACAGAAACAGATAAGGAAGACTGAAAATGAGAAATTAACAACAGAAAATTAATTTTGTATTAGAGGCATGTCCTCTTACAGGCACCATATTTAAAATTTAAACTCATGGATTATTTTGATTACCTGATATTCTTTGCACTATTACAAAGCAGGCCTCATTAGGACTCATAAAAACCTTAGGTTAAGATGGGACAATTTACCCAAAGTCACATGACTGATAAAAAGTCAAATATAAATTAACTCTAAAATCTATTCTTTCCTCTATGTCTTGATATATAAACGAATATCTCAAATTGGGGATGAACTTTTAATGAGAATTAGTTAGCAATGTTGGACATCCTTATAAAAGTATTTCTTAATATGATATACTAATAATCTCTTTTGAAAAAAAAAAGTTTACTAATTAAATATAATTTTCAGAAAGGAATAACGTTTTGGCTCTGTGTTCAGTACTGTATCCTTTCTTATTTTTCTCCTTAATCTAAAAATGACTTCAGTTTCCAAATGGAGCAACTGTATGTCAAGTTTTAAATTACAACAAAGATACAAAATGTAGTAGAAATAGCATAACATTTTCCAGGCCCAAACTTTCGGCTATGCTGTTAAATTTTTCTTAAAAGCAATACTATTGTTTCACATTGGCGAAATTTTTATACATTACCTTGATAGCATTTATATGACATCATATTTTATAAATGTTATCCTTTATGCTAATTTACAGATGAGAATGCTAATAGTAAAATTTGTGGGCAAACACCGAGCCAAGGGAATAAGTAAGAATTTTAAAAGAAATGTTGAGGCAGAGGCGGAGCGGCGCGGCGGCCAGACGCGCAGAGGCGGAGCGGCGCGGCGGCCAGACGCGGCGGAGCAACACCACATACAGGAAGAGGCTTTCGGGGACCAGCGCAGCGGCAGACCCAAGCGGCGGGGACAGGCATGCAATAAGGAGAGCAGTTCGCCCTACTACAATTGAATGAAAGAGGACCCATTGGATAGGATCAATAGGAGGAAATGGGCAGGCGCCAAGGCAAGAATTCACCCAATAATCCGAAAAACAACATGAAAACATCAGAACCCAATGATCTTACAACAGAAGTATTTGAACAACCTAACACAGAAGAAGTGGAAAAAATCAACTTTATGAATATAATAGAGTCCCTTAAACAACATGTAAAAAATGCCCTTATAGAAATGGATGAGAAGTATAACAAAAAGTTTGAAGAAATGAGTAAATATGTACATGATACCCTGGGAAACCAAGAAAAAACCATCAAGCAGGTAATGGAAACAGTTCAAGAATTGAAAACTGAAATGAAGGC